GATAGATAGATAGATAGACAGATAGATAGATGATAGATAGATGATAGATAGGTGATAGATAGATGATAGATGATAGATAGATGACAGATACATAGATGATAGATAGATAATGATAGATAGATAGATGATAGATAGATAGACACATAGATGATACATAGATAGATGATAGGTAAATAGATGATACATAGATAGATGATAGATGATAGATAGATAATGATAGATAGATGATAGATAAATAGATGATAGATGATAGATAGATGATAGATAAATAGATGATAGATAGATGATAGATAGATGATAGATGGTAGATAGATAGATAGATGATAGATAGATAGATAGATAGATAGATAGATAGATAGATGATAGATAGATAGATGATAGATAGATGATAGATAGATAGACGGATGGATAGATAGATAATGATAGATAGATGATAGATAGATAGATAGATAGATGATAGATAGATGATAGATCGATGATAGATGATAGATAGATATAGATACATAATGATAGATAGATGATAGATAGATAGATAGATAGATAGATAGATAGATAGACGATAGATAGATGATAGATAGATGATAGATAGATACATAGATAGATGATACATAGATAGATGATAGGTAGATAGATGATATAGATGATAGATGATAGATACATAGATGATAAATAGATACATAGATAGATGATACATAGATAGATGATAGGTAGATAGATGATATAGATAGATAGATGATAGATACATAGATGATAAATAGATACATAGATAGATGATACATAGATAGATGATAGGTAGATAGATGATATAGATGATAGATAGATGATAAATAGATAGATAGATAATGATAGATAGATAGATGATAGATAGATGATAGATAGATGATAGATGATAGATAGATGATATAGATAGATAGATAGATAGATAGATAGATAGATAGACAGACAGACAGACAGACAGACTCTTTTGAGAGCAGGCAACAAAACTTCATTTTTTAACGTGGGCCAGTTTGCTCACAGTAAAACAATTACAATAAAGCTTATCTCATTTGGTGATGTAGCAGGGAAGATCGCTGGGGAAGATGGGGATGGTGATTAAAGGAAAGCGAAGGGGGGGGGGGGGGGATGGGGCTTAAAGACGGCACAGACGGGCGTCCCCTCCGCCTCTGCGCCCGCAGAGCCTTGCAGCCCACCGCCCCGTTTTGCGTTACCGGCACCTTCTCCCGGCCCCCGTTTTTCCCCACTTACCACGCGGCCCCCATTCATCTCTTGCCGTGCAGCTGCTGAACGTTCCAACCGGAAGGAACCTTCATGTTTTTTTTCCCCGCTCTTTTTGCGTTTCATTCAGTTCCCCCCCATTCTTATACCATCCAGCCGGACTTTGACCTTTGCTGCCGCTCTAGGACACGGCTTCGAAGAGGCCTCTCCAAGGTTTTAACCCCTTAAATGCTTAACCCCCCAACAGCCTGCGCCTGTCTTCAACAAGGGACGCACAGGGCCGAAAAACACCCTGCAGCCAAGAAGCTTCCACACCCGTTTGCACCACTCAGGTGACCCTGAGGACACAGATAAGCCTCCAAGTGGCCTCAACGATTGAGGTGAAACCAGGCTCAATAGCAGTAACCGTGACAGGGATCTTCGAGTCTTAGTGGACAACCAGCTAAATAGGAACCAGCAGTGTGCAGCAGCAGCCAAAAAAGCTAATTCAATCCTAAATTGCATTAACAGAGGGATCAAGTGAGGTACTAATACCATTCTATAAAGCCTTAGTAAGACTACACCTAGAGTACTGCATCCAGTTTTGGTCATCACACTATAAAAAAGATGTTGAGACTCTAGAAAAAGTGCAGAGAAGAGCAACCAGGATGATTAGGGGACTGGAGACTAAAACATGAAGAACGGTTACTGGAACTGGGCCTGGCTAGTCTAGTGAAGAGAAGGATCAGGGGAGACAGGATAGCGGTCTTCCAATATTTGAGGGGCTGCCACAGAGAGGAAGGGGTTAACCTATTTCTATAGTACCCGAAGGCCAGACAAGGAATAATGCATGGAAACTGAACAAGGAGAGATTTAACCTGGAGATAAAGAGAAACTTTCTGACAGAGAGAACAATCAACCCATGGAACAGAAGTTGCCCTTGGAAGTTGTGGAAGCGCCATCACTTGAGACTTTCAAGAAGAGATTGGACTCCCATCTGACAGAAATGGTGTAGGGTCTCCCGCTTGGGTGGGGGGGTTGGACTAGATGACCTGTAAGGTCCCTTCCAACTCTGATTATCTGTTATCTGATTCTAGTCCAAACGAATGCCAATGACCAGCTGTCTGCATGGAATATATAAACCTTTCCATTCCCCACCATCCAGTTAGAGCTGAAGAAGCTTCTTGGCTGAGAAGCAAAATGTCTTCAAAAGAAAAAAACAGCAACAAGAAAGTCCATTTGCCTCTTGAAAAAGCACCTTTGGGACCTTTAAATGCTTAAGAGTGGACCTATGGGATCATACAGTTTAGAGCAGGGGCCTCCAACCTTCGCAACTTTAAGCCTGGAGGACTTCAGCAAAAATCTGCCGAGCTTAATGTTGCCAAAATTGGAGACCCCTGGTTTAGAGCGCTGTTCCTCAAAACCTGGCGACTTTGAGACATGTAGACCTGGACTCCCAGAATTCCTCAGCCAGACAGCCGATGGACTGGCTGATTGATTATCTCGATCAAGTGGGGGTTGACTCCATGGATCACCTTGGCAAGATGGACAGGCTTTTATTCCCAGAATTCTCCAGCCAGCCACAACAACTAGTCCAGTGAAGAGAAGGACCAGGGGAGACATGATAGCAGCGTTCCCATATTTGAGGGTCTCACATTGGCTTTTTTAAGCTGCCGCCGCACACTGTTGACTCATATTTAATTGATTTAGTTTACTTTATTGTCATTGCACCTCGTACAATGAAATCAAACACTATCTTCAGTGCACATCATGACCGTGAAAATAAACACAAACACACATCCTTCACGCGCCACATATTGAACCAAAAACCCGCAACACCACACCAACACTGCACTATACAGCAGAATTCAACAGAGCTATTCCCCTGGGATAGAAGCTGTTTTTCAACCTATTTGTCCTTATTTTTATTATCCTGTCTGCCAGATGGTAATAGTTCAAAAAAGGGGTGCCCAGGATGAGACGGATCTTTGAGAATGTTTTGAACTTTCTTAAGGCAGCGGGAGCTATAAAGCTCTTCCAAAGTGGGGAGAGGGCAACCCATGATCCCCTGGGCAATGACCTTAACCCCCCGGAGTGCTTTCCTATCCATTCACTAGGACTCCAAGATCTCTTACAGTGACTGCTGTTAAGACAGGTTTCACCTAATCTGTATGTGGACGTTGGGGTTTCCTTGCCTAAGTGTAAAACTTTATTTCTCTCTACGTTGAATTTCATTCGCGTTGGCTGAACTTTTATCACTTCTGCTACCAAGAGGCTGAAGGTCTGCCACAGCCAACCCTGGTATCTCTACCACTTGCTGGTGGTTGATAGTAGAGCGGGGTGGGCTTCAAAAATTTTAGCAACCGGTTCTCTGCCTGGTTGCTGAGTGGGCATGGCCCTGGTGGGTGTGGCCTAGTCAGCATCCTGCACCAGTGATGGTTGTGGTACACCAAAAGCGCACGCATGCACAATAGCACATGCATACACAATAGCGTGCACACATTCCGGCACCCACAATGCAATGCGCCCTGCTCCCCCCTTACCCGCACTGCACACGCTCACACCTCCCAGCTGATTTTCAGCCCATTTGAGAGGCCATTTTTGCCCTCCCAAGGCTTGAGGGAAGCCTCTGCAGTCTCGGGAGGCCGAAAAACGGGCCTTCCAGAAATACCGGAAGTGCTGAAATGGGCCTAGTTTGAGGCTTCCCTTGAGCTTCCGGAAGGGTGAAAACAGCCTCCCCCAAGCTCCAGAGGCCCTCCGGAGGCTGAAAATGGGCACTTGTGGTATTTCCAGAAGGCCCATTTTTTGGCCTCCCGAGGCTGCAGAGGCTTCTCTCGAGCCTCTGGGAGGGCAAAAACATCCTCAAACGGGCCGAAAATCAGCCAGGAGGCGCGCGCATGTGCAATGCAGGAAAGTTTAGCTAGGGCTTGCATGCCCACACAAAGGGCTCTGCATGCCATTAGGTTCGCCATCGTGGTCCTGCACTCTGGCGGGAGGGGGCATTTTTGCCCTCCCCGGGCTCTGGAGGCTTTCCTTGAGCCTCTGGGAGGGTGAAAACGGCCTCCCAGGCTCTGGAGGCCCTTTGGAGGCTGGAAATGGGCCCATTTCTGGCCTTCCCAAATTTCCAGGAGGCCCATTTGTCACCCTCCCCGAGCCTCCGCGTGGGCCCTGCACTTACCTGGGATTCAAAACAGGCCACGTGGAGACTTCTGGGAGGGGCAGGGTGGGCGGGGCCAGCCAGTCATTGCAACTACCTGTTTGGTGTACCAGGCATAAAATTAGCATTCGGTTCGCCCAAACCAGTGTGAACCAGTATCAGCCTGACCCCTGAAATAGAGAGACACACACCAAGGGGCAGAGATCTTAGAGCTGGTAAACTGGGAGCAATTCCTGGCCACCTTGCCCCCAAAGATGCATGGCTGGGTCAAAGGAAAGGATGCTATTTGCTACCTCCATGCAGCGGCTGATGTTAAGGACTCTCCGATCAGGCGGAAAAGCCCCGGGAGAAGGTGTAATAAAAGCAGATGAGGCAGAAGTGATAGAATTCTGTACTATAATACACAACCTGTCGGGCAGATGCATGGAGCTCAGGGTTGTAATGGAAGACTTGTGTGTATGTGAGCCTCCAAATCTTGGCGACGACCTTGGCCAACTCCTTGACCTTTTGGGGGGTCACATTTTTGGGTCTACCATTGATGCAAGAAGGCGGGACCAGGCATATTCACCCGCTGGCTTTGTGCTGAAGACAAAACTTCACAGTCTCCTGGCTTTTTCCCCAGTGTTTCCCTCCCCCCCGCCCAACCTTAGCAGGTGTAAGAAGGGTGGACTTCAACTCCCAGAATTCCCCATCGAGCATGGATCAGCTGTAAATGTGCAGGTGTGTTTCTGTGTAATAAAAAGAATAAGATTTCCCATTTTTTACCACAGAAATCTGCTGGAGATCCATTGCAGGGACTTCTCAAATGTTTGACTGAAGGACTAAACCAACCTCATTTGGGGGGGTTGATTCCCAGCTCAGCCTTGGCGCTCTCAGGCCAGATAGAGGACCAAGCACAGCAATGACCCAGGACAGCAAGGTGAGAAAATGAAATTATAGAGCCCCAAGGGGAAGCGCGAAGGAATGGAGCCCCAAGGGGAAGCGCGAAAATGAAATTATACAGCCCCAAGGGGAGGTGCTTGCTGACACGAGGCCAGATGGCTAACCAGATTGCGGTGAGCTTTCTTCAGACCCCACCACTCCGCCAGAAAGCGGTCAGGAGAGGGCTTTGCATGTCAAAGACTTCCCCTCCCCCCCATTGTTAAAACTGTTGGAAGAAAATATCCTTCTGGGTCCAGTTCCAAGCGGGGGGAAAAGACACTGGATTCATGGAAGTTGCTTGGAAAGAAAGTTTAATGGTGGACAGGACCGCATGCCTTTACTACCGGTTCTGTGGGTGTGGCTTGGTGGGCGTGGCATGGTGTGGCGGGCGTGGAAGCGGGAGGATACTGCAAAATCCCCATTCCCTCCCCACCCCGCTAACCTGATTTCCAGCTCCGTTCTCCTGTGCAGAGCAACAAAAGAAGACTCAGCTAGGACTCGGGAGGCACAGAAGAGATGAAGGCAGGGCCAGTCAGAGGAGGTATTTGCCGGTTCTTTCCTCAAACTTTCCGCTACCGCTTCTCCAGAACTGGTCAGAACCTGCTGAATACCCACCTCTGCTACGGCACTGAAACATGTGACTTCGGACCATTTTCCACAGTTATGACCATCAACTCATAAAACCTTTTGTATACACGTTTTATAGTTGACAACAGAAAGAAGGAGGGGGGGAGTTTCAAAGAACAGGTGGCAGTGTGGAATCGAAAGTACATTCCATTCATATTTTCTTCAAGCCCTGATTAGATAGATGACTGAAGCTTCTGCCGGCAAAAATCTAACTGGAGAACATGATTGACGACTTTTGGGTATGGACGTTTCTCGTTGGGTGGGACGTTCCCAGAGGGGTGGGAGGAAAAGTAAAATCAAAGGTGACAGTGAATTACATATCTCAGAGTTGGCTATGCCCAGGTAAAGGCTGGACGTTCAAATAAATCCTCTTTAGTTTTTCAGAGTGTGACTTAAGGCTCATGATTTAATTGGAGTAACTGCCAGAAATGGTGTAAGGTCTCCTGCTTGGGCGGGGGGGGTTGGACTAGATGACCTACAAGGTCCCTTCCAACTCCGATTATCTGTTAAATCTTCTTGCAGCAGCTTCCTAGTTGTCTCACTGTTTCTTCAGCTCCTTGGCTTGGTCTTGTGCCGTCAGAATGTCATTGTTGTTATTATTATTAAGATCAAAATGTCACTCAATCAAATGCCGTGCTTCTATTATGCCTCTGTGAAGCAGAAAGATGCAAAGTCTTGGCTCTTAAGAATAACAGCCGGCTTAGAAGGCAATGAATGAATGAAATTGTCTTGCTCTGGTTTGAAAAAGAAGAGAGAGACTCGGTGGACGGTGGCTGGGCTTTTGCTAAGCTATGATCTGCTGAATAAGTCTCACCCATCAAGGCTTAATCGGTGATATGTAAACCAGGCTTTAACAGCAATTTTTCCATCTGGTGCTTTCCAGATGGCAGGATTACAACTCCCAGAATTCCTTATTCCCAAACCATCTGGACGGTAGGATCTGCTTTAAGCCCTCCTCTCGTTTTCTTGATCGTAGTCTGGATTTCGACAAATTGTCTGTTGAGATCCTCTTATTTTTGCAACCATTGCAAGGAATGGAATCTTCCGACCAAGAGAAAAATAACTGTATTAAATAGACATTAAATAGACACCTTTCGTTTAAGGGTTTGATGGCCAGGTAGTCCTTGACTTACAATGACTCATTTAGCAACATTACAACCACACTGAAAAGTGTTACTTATGACTGGTCCTTGCACTTCTGACTATCACATCATCCCCAGGGTCAAAATTCAAGTACTTGGAAACTGGAATTGAGGCCAACAATATCTCTAATTTTACCATTAATTTTACCATTTCAGCTATTAAATGACCAATGTTTTAAAGTGTACATCTCATATAGTTGTTTTATTTATTCATATAATTGTTATTTAGGACAGGGGGTCGCCAACCTTTTGGACCTTAGGGACCACCAAACTCATAATGTTAAATCCCAGGTTCTGTGGGCGTGGCCTAATTTGTGGGTGTGGCTTGGTGATCCCGTGACTGGCTGGGCATGGCTTGTATGTAAATATTA